ATGGCTTCTACTTCATTATATCAGTTTTCAAGTTTTTGAGGCGAAATGTGAAGAACTACTACTGGAAACAATAATTCAGCGTGGATATGTTCGATAAAACTACACACTGAAAATTCTTGCACTGGCTATAACTCACCAATTAATCATATTGATGTTCTTTGCTATGTACTTTGACGAACGTACACAATCTGGATAAGTTATGTGTTATAAAAACTAGACACATACATCGAAAGCGTAATTTATGGAAACCACAACATGCCTTAGGACAGAGGTACTTTTTATTAACGTTTACTCCTTTCTTTCGTCAGCCAGCAGTAATCTACCGACTTGAATTTTAGAAATATTCAAATGCATAAAAATGATGCTGCCATTTACTTCAAAACTACCCAGACCAACACTTTTGCAACAGCAAAACAAGAGTCAAAGTCTTGAAAAGATCAACCTGTCATAAGAGATCAAAGCAAAATGATCTTACAAGAATTGTATAATTAAAGTCATTGCACATACATCCCCACCAATCTTGAAATCGAATTGCATCCAAGTTATACCTTCGAACAACCGTACATTATGCTCTCTCGTCCCATGTTCTTACCAACTACATGCATCTATCAATGCTGACCAATAATGCAATGGAACCATAAGTTGGATTTCCCTATAATTACATAACGAGTTTTCTAAGTTTGAAAATCGACATCAGGGAGTGAAAATTTGATACAAAAGCCTCGTTTCAGCTCCGACTAACCCGAGGACGTATCAGTTGTAGATGATCTGAATTTGTATCAAAATAAAGATTTGACGCGCGTGATATCACCTAGTAGCAACAATTTCGTTTTCACTAATAATCAGCAATTTTTCGTCTAGTTATGAATTCAAAAAGCATGTTTTGGTCTACTTGCTTTTGTACTGGGAGTTTTTCTTGCTACACTTGCTTAATTTTGATGCAAAAGCTCGTTACTATCTGTAGTACCTTTTCATAATTACACAAACTTAACAAAGAGACTCGGTAAAAGGACAGTTCATAAAAA